TTTTTAGTTGTCCGATTAATTTCTTTCTATTTTTAGTAGAGACGGGTTCTCGCTCTTGCTCAGGCTGGTCTCGAACTCCTGAGCTCAAATGATCCACCCGCCTCGGCCTCCCAGAGAGCTAGGATTACAGGCATGAGCCACCACACCCGGCCAACCTGTTGACTTTTGATAATAGTCATCCTAACAGGTCTAGGTGATATTTCATTGTGGTTTTGGTTTTCATTTCCCTTATAATTGTTGATGTTGAGCATCTTTACATGTACTTGTTAACCATCTGTATGTCTTCTTTGGAAAAATGTCTATTCAGGTCCTTTGCCCGTTTTTTAATTGAGTTATTTGGAGGCTTTTTGTTGTCAAGTTGTGTCAGTTCCTTATATATTTTGGCTATCAAATCCCTTATCAAATGTATGGCTTGCATATATTTTCTTCCAGTCCATAGGCTGCCTTTTCACTTTGTTATTGTTTCTTTGGCTATGCAGAAACATTTTAATTTGATGTAGTCCCATTTGTTTATTTCTTGCTTTCATTGCCTGAGCTTTTGGTGTGGTATCCAAAAAAATCATTGCCAAGGCCAATATCAAGAAGCTCTTCCCCTGTGTTTTCTTCTAGGAATTTTATGGTTTCAGGTCTTATGTTGAGGTCTTTATCCAATTTGTATTTGTTATTTGTTTATGGCGCAATGCTTTTTTCAATTACTATATCTTGGTAGTTATTTTTTGACAATATTTAGAAATTTTTCTCATTTTTTTCTATTAATATAGTGGTATTGTATTCCATTCTGCATATACCATAGTTTATTCAGCCAGTCTCTACTGTATGGGCATTTGTAAACAGAACTTATAAGAATTAAAATGCATTTTTCTATTTAATTTTATATACACATTTAAAATAAAAAAGGAGATTTTTTTTAAATTTTAGAATCACCAAATTAAAGGTAGATTGTCTAAGATGTTACTTGAGAAAAATAAATGTCACAAAACTAGAACATCCTGGCTGGCCTGGCCAATGACTTCTTCCTCTCATTAGGCTGTTGATCATGGGAGGCAGTATCAAAATCACAAATGGCTTGGTCAGCCTGGAATCAGAGCAAGAAGAGCTAGTTGAATGATTTTAATGGTTAGTGCTTCAAGGAGTTGGAGAGTCATCTCCACAAGTAGGGGCGTGCTTTTGTCTACCTGACTACATTGTTTTGTTGTTGTTTCCTTATGGCCACCTTCTGACCATACATTTGCCACAGCTTTACCTAACAAAAGTGGCAGAACCAGCTCTGGAATTGCAAGATTATAGGGGCCGCTCCACCCCATATCCCCAATAATCCCACTGGGTATCCATGCTCCGTCTCCAATTTAGGGCTTGTTGATATCCCGAGGTCTTCTAGGGCTGGATTCCCCCACAGACAGCAAACAGCTGGTGCTGAGCAAAACCCTATAGCATGGATGTGCGTCACTCCAATTGGGCAGGCGGAGTATGAGTGCAGTTCTCAATGTAGACAGTCAAGTCCTCTTGGGTTCGGGTAACCAGAGGGTCTCACTAGAGTTTAGGCCAGTTAGCTCCCCTGCCCACCTTTTGAGATAATGATTCTTCTGTGGCACCACTAATTTAGCTTTCCATAGACTTTATTTGTAGGAAATTAGCTGCATGAAATTTATATACAAGACTCCTTATAAGGAGAAAAACATGAATTACCATTCCATTTTTATATAATGTTTAAAGGGCTGAAATAAACATGAACTTAAATCTAGAATAATTAAGATATAATACTGGGCAAACACAGCAAGACTGCCTTTGCAATTTCCTTTGGAGGATTTGTGCTTGGAGAATGAGTAGAGCAGAATTAATGCCAAGTCCCTCTGTCTTCCCTCCAAATCTCCATACCCAGTGAGGTCACATCTGCCCACTTTGTTCTCCCAATTCTCCTATAAGAGCTAAAAATAACAATATTAGCAAAGCCGACATATCTTTAGTGCCTACTGTATGCCAATTACTATTCTAAGAGCTTTCTGTAGAGCCATTCCTCTAATAGAGAATGCCTGTATCTTTTGCAGTTGTGAAGATGACCTCTCCGAGGACAGAGAGGAGCTCCTGCATGGGATTTCAGAGCTGGACATCAGCAACTCGGATTGTTTCCCATCTCAGCTGCTAGTGCATGGGGCTTTAGCCTTCCCCCTGGGGTTAGATTCCTACCATGGCTGTGTCATAGCGGCTGCCCGCTATGGCCGGGGCCGGGTGGTTGTGACTGGCCATAAGGTATTATTCACTGTTGGTAAACTGGGCCCCTTTCTGCTCAATGCTGTACGCTGGCTGGATGGGGGCCGTAGAGGCAAGATCGTGGTGCAGACAGAGCTGAGAACACTGAGTGGCCTGCTTGCTGTGGGGGGCATAGACACCAGCATTGAACCCAATCTGACCAGTGATGCAAGTGTCTATTGCTTTGAACCCATGAGTGAAGTGGGGGTCAAAGAGCTGCAGGAGTTTGTAGCAGAGGGTGGGGGACTATTTGTTGGAGCCCAAGCCTGGTGGTGGGCCTTCAAGAACCCAGGAGTATCCCCTTTGGCTCGATTCCCAGGAAACCTCCTCCTCAACCCCTTTGGCATCAGCATCACAAGCCAAAGCCTCAACCCAGGGCCCTTTCGTACTCCTAAAGCAGGGATAAGGACCTATCACTTCCGCTCCACCCTGGCCGAGTTCCAGGTTATAATGGGCAGAAAGAGAGGAAATGTGGAAAAGGGCTGGTTGGCAAAGCTAGGCCCTGATGGCGCAGCTTTCCTTCAGATTCCCGCGGAAGAGATCCCTGCCTACATGTCTGTGCACCGGCTCCTGCGGAAGCTGCTAAGTCGGTATCGGCTCCCAGTAGCCACCCGAGAGAACCCTGTTATCAATGACTGCTGCAGGGGTGCTATGCTTTCCCTGGCCACAGGTCTGGCCCACTCTGGAAGTGACCTCTCTCTGCTAGTCCCAGAAATTGAAGATATGTACAGCAGCCCCTATCTGCGCCCCTCAGAATCTCCTATCACCGTCGAGGTCAACTGCACCAATCCAGGTAAGAGAGGGGGCTGGGAGGGAGCTCAGTATTATGGGGACAGGGTGACTTCAGCAGCTCATTGCAGTCTCCATTCTTTGCCATGTACTGTGGAGAAGGCCAGGGTTGGGATTTTAGGTACTGTTTAGAAGAGTTGAGTCGGGGCAGCAAGCAGGAAAGAAACGAGCAGAGGTCAGGACAGGTCTCTGGAAATGGAGATGGTATCACAGAGGAGGGATGAAGTCGGCATGCCCTTTCTATACCTTTGGCAGGCACCAGATACTGCTGGATGAGTACCGGGCTTTACATACCTTCAAGGCAGATCATAGAAGTCTCCTTGCCTGAAGCTGCTGCCTCTGCCGACCTGAAGGTAAGGCCGTGCCCTGTCTTACCATGAGACATGGAACCCAAAGGCTCCTGCTTGCACAGTCAGCATCCTATTTGATTCTCATAAAACCCTATTGGCAATACAAGGCGGATATTTGTACCCCTATTTTAAGGATGAGGCAACTAACGTGCAGAAAAGCTTATTGATTGATTTAAACGTACAGAGCTGACACGTAGAGCCCACGACTCAAACCCAACCAACTCTAGCTCTTAAGTTTTGTGCTTTTGACTTATGTCATGGAGTGGGAAATAAGAGAGATATCAAATGGAAGGGTCCCTAGCACACACTAGGCATTCAGTAAACCTTAGTTCTCTTTCCATCCCCATGTACATTTCCCACGGTAGCACAAGGTCTTTCTGACTCTGGCTGCTTCCACATGACACCAAAGACTATTCCTCAATTGCTTGGTCCACCTTCTGCTCTGTCACTTTCATATACACAAACTCTATTTGCAAAATTAATTTGTCATCCTGCTCTGTTCCCTTTGACAGTCACTGTTATGGTTAGGGTCTATTCTGTGCCTGTTTCTATCCTGGAATTGGCTTAGCATAAACCTAAGGAAAACAATGCCAGGGTTCTACCAAGTACCTGCCCAGGAAGGGGGCCTTGGAGAGCAGGGAGGAATTGAATCGACCCCCTACTATGTCAGCCAGCCACACTGCCTCCCACTGGGCCCTCTCTCTAATCAACAAAAGGCAGGGTTCCCTCTGTCCCAGCCCAAATTCCAGAAACACCACCATGGAATGCGCAATCCAGGACTCTGTCTGTCACAGAGGCACCAAGGGGCCATTTGTGAGAGTCTGTGCTCCTTAGAATTGGCCTTACAGGTTACACCTGGTGCTCTTCACAAGCCCTTGGGAGAATGTTTGCACATAATGACCTCAAGGAATGCTGCAGTTGCAGGGTTTTATCAAGGCTGGGCTTGCATGGGGTCATGGCTTAATGACCCTTGCTGAGTCCTCACCTCCTGGCCTCTCTTCCACCCACACATGCCCTGTGGTGACTCCGTGGGGGGCTCTCTCTGCTCCAGATACAGATTGGCTGCCACACGGACGACCTGACCAGGGCCAGCAAGCTGTTCCGAGGCCCCCTTGTGATCAACCGATGCTGCCTGGACAAACCCACAAAATCCATCACCTGCCTCTGGGGCGGCCTTCTCTATATCATCGTGCCTCAGAGCAGCAAACTGGGTTCTGTGCCCATCACCGTGAAGGGGGCCGTGCATGCTCCCTTCTATAAGCTGGGTGAGCAGAAGCCCAGGGGTGCACCCTGAGGGAGAGGGAGGTGACCGGGCACTGTTTGGTGTAGGAGGAGAGAGACACATCAGTGGAGGAAGGAGGGTCAGCTTCCTTATATTCAGCTTGGGGCCACCGAGATAAAGACCAGACCACATCCTTGGGGGCTTCATAGAGGAAGGACAGAGAGGAGGGATACAGTTGTCGTCCTCCTGGGGCCCAACTTCATGTTGTAACTTATGGGATTTGGGAAAGTGTGTCTCAAGCCCCATGGCCTGTCTTCCTAGGAGAGACATCCCAGGAGGAGTGGAAGAGGCGCATCCAGGAGAACCCAGGACCCTGGGGAGAGCTGGCCACGGACAACATCATCCTGACGGTGCCGACCGCAAACCTCCGTACTCTGGAGAACCCAGAGCCACTGCTCCGCCTCTGGGATGAGGTGATGCAGGCCGTGGCCCGACTGGGAGCCGAGCCCTTCCCTTTGCGTCTGCCTCAGAGGATTGTTGCTGACGTGCAGATCTCAGTTGGTGCGTGCTCTGAGCCAGCCCTCCGTGCATGCTGCCTCCAAGTGCCTCCCTTTCTTTCAGCCTCCATGCAGTGGTCAGCCAGAAGGGTAAAAACGTTCTGCTAGCAGGACATAGAGATGTAGTCCTTGCTATTTAAAGGGAAAGGAAAAAATGTATGTAAGAAATAAATAACAGTTTAAGTCAATATGTCAAGAGATACCATCAGAGGCATCAAGAGATGTCACCTGAGCTTCCACAAGTGTCTACTGTGGGACCCCAAGTAGTGGATAAAAAAGGTGGAGGGCCTTGACCTAGGTCCGAGTGGTTGGGAGAGGGAATTTTACAACTTTGAGAAGACATTGCCTATGGGTTAAGGAGCCTTAAATAATAAGAGTGGCGTACAGACATTAAAGACCCTCATTTTCTTGGCTTACCTAGTAAAGTAGTATCCATGTGGGCAGCTCCATATCTAAATAATGAGAGGGGGGGACCACTCCTCTCATTCATCCTCAAAGAGTTGTGAATTTTGGGAAAAGGGTTTAATGACACAGGTTCACATGGATAAGGCATCCTCATAAAAATGAAAAAATTGAATGGTAGCATCAATGACTCTTTGTAACCTGCATCCTCTCCCATAGCCATACGATTTCGTATTTCAGGTCCGAGTGAGATAAAGACATTCTTAAAGAATGAGAGGGTAGGAAGGAAGCCTGGGAGGGCCTTCTGAGCATCATGGGGTACCAGAAGTTGCCTGGGGCTACTAGGTATTTTAAAAGAAGCGATATAGAGGAGAATTTCATGAGTCTAGTGGGAGGAACCCTAACCCTGTCTTCCTCCCTCCTGCATCTTCTAGGCTGGATGCATGCAGGGTACCCCATCATGTGCCATCTGGAGTCAGTGCAGGAGCTCATCAATGAGAAGCTCATCAGAACCAAGGGGCTGTGGGGCCCTGTCCACGAGCTGGGCCGCAACCAGCAGCGGCAGGAGTGGGAGTTCCCACCACACACCACCGAGGCCACCTGCAACCTGTGGTGTGTTTATGTGCATGAAACAGTCTTGGGCATCCCTCGAGCCCGTGCCAATATTGCCCTGTGGCCCCCAGTGCGAGAAAAGAGAGTCAGAATCTACCTGAGCAAGGGTCCCAATCTGAAAAACTGGAATGCGTGGACCGCACTGGAAACGTATTTACAGGTACTGGGCAAAGATGGGGGGTGATGGGAGCCCTCTACTGTGGAAACAACCAGGGCAACATTGTTTGGTGATAGTCTAGTGACCAGGAGATCTCCCACTGCACCTGTCTCCCACACTAAGCCACAGGAGGCCCTGCAAAAGCCCCAGTGTGACAGTCCTCTTTGATGCTGCCTCTCAATGCATTGCTTTGCATGACCCTAAGGTGGACTCAGTAGCCTCAGCTTCACCCTCCGCCCCACAAAGATACGTGAGGGTGGATGGAAAAGCCACCGAGAAAGGTTAAAAATGGCAGAGGCAAGTGTAGTACTATAAATATATTTGCTTCCTCTGGTTTTTAAAGCCAGACATACCTGAGATTAAAGCCAAACTCTCCCGCTTAATAGCTATCTAAAACCAAACAATCCCCCTGCCACACACACAATACATGCAATATGTCCTGTTTTTCCTTAGGTGAGTATACCATCTTCTTCTTGTGACTTGGCTGTGCTTCAGACTCCACCTTGTATAGGCAATCCAGGACTCCTCCCTGACCTGGACATGGATGTTGCCTTTGCTCTGAACTCTTGTTCCGTGCCCTAGTTCTGTCTCCCCGGTGCCTGGAGCACTTCTTGGCACACTGTGGAGAATTTCATCGCCTTGAATTCTGGAGCTCAGTCTCAAGCCAGGCATGCTCTATTCTGGTTCTTTCACCTGCTCGAGTTCCTCTCTGTTCATTCCCACTGCCGTGAGAATGATGGGAAGCAGCCAAGGAGGCTCTACTTTAACCTTTTACTGCTGCTTTGTGCCAGGAACAAAAGTTCCTCGTCAGTGAAATAAAGTTGGCCTTGGTCTAGGAACTGTTCACGTCCCTCTTAACTCCAGCTCTGTAACCCTGGCTAACATGGGCTATTTCCAATAGCCTCAGGGTGGCTTCCTTTTCTAAAATTGTAACTTACTCTTAATTCTAGCTACCCAGACTGTCTATAGTGCTCTGCTTCTACCTGACTAACTTTTTTCTCCAAAGACCATTTTAGTAGCCTTGAAAATGGACACAGACCTATGCTTAGTAAGGATTTCATTGTCAGGATAGGGGTGGGAGTTTCTCAATTGTTGAGATTTAACTTTGCAACTATGAAAGATAAAAGGGTTTTCCTACTTTAGCCAATTTTAAGTCCTTGTATACTGTCCTGTCACTTCTTTCACGATCTAGTGAGATATATGAATGATGATACTGGCAGTAAATACAGATTAGAATCACTGTAGTTATTACCACAGGCTTCACCTATTGAATGTCCACCTGGTGCCAAGCACTGGGCTAGCCCCAAGGCCCTTCTTAAGATTAGAATGTGGGGGGAGCAGAGTGTGAGGCCAGTAGGCAAAACGGAGGAGAGAAGCTCAGTGAAAGACAAGAAGCTGATGTGTAAGGGGTTAAATACATTTAACTCACTTATTATAGTGTTCGTTGGAACCTCTTTTTGTAGATTAGATGTCTCATCCTGATTTTTCTTTCTCTTTTCAGCTACAGGAGGCCTTTGGGTGGGAGCCCTTCATCCGTCTCTTCACTGAGTATAGGAACCAGACCAACTTGCCCACAGACAATGTCGACAAAATGAATCTGTGGGTCAAGATGTTCTCCCACCAAGTGCAGAAGAACCTGGCTCCGTTCTTTGAGGCCTGGGCCTGGCCTATCCAGAAGGAAGTGGCTACCAGCCTGGCCTATCTGCCTGAATGGAAGGAAAATATTATGAAATTATACCTCCTCACACAGATGTAAGGAGTGCCCATCGAGGTGGCAGGTAGAGAGGTTTGGGGAGGTAGGCAGAGATGGGGATTCACTCCTCTACCTCTGCCTCCTAGGGTCTGGCCTTGTCCTCTTAGCTCACTGCCCCTGTACCTTATTACTGACTTCTGTCTCTAGGAAGTGGGTTAAGAACATAGCCCAAAGTAGAACCAGAGTTTCTCGGGAATAAGGCCTCTGTTTATGAGTCTTGTTTCTCTGCTCTCAGCTGTCAGATTCCCTCCTGACCCTGCATTGGCCTATTTCTGAGAGCTTTGGTACCTGTTTCTATACCAGCCCTTGATTCCCCGTTGTGGGCCATATCCCATAGGGGGTGGTTCTCATCTTGACATCCTGAGGACTCTCTCTGGCCTTTTATTTTTGACCAGTTGTTCCAAAAACCTGACCATGGAACTCAAATGGAACACAAATTTACCATGAGAACCAGACAGCTCCCCCATGACTCATATATTTTATGTCTTGAGTAGTTTTCAAAGTGCTTGAAAGCAGTCTGGTATAATGGGAAGAGCCCAGAATTAGGGTTAGCTCTTGGGATATTCATTTCATCTTTGCACTCCCATTTCCTGTGTGTGAAATGGGGATAAAAATCCCTGCCTCCCAGGGTTGTCATGAAAGTTCAGATTGATAATTCTATAGAGGTTTGTGAGCTCTGCAGTGCATGCCATCTAGGGGGTGGTTCTATTTTCTCCTGGTCCACAGGATAATGAGCTTATTACTTCCCATCCTCTACTAGAGCTTAGAGATTGAGATCATCATCTCTATGAGTAGATTCCCCATATCCAAATCCTGGGTTTTTCACCTACTATTTGTATAACCTGGGCAAGTTCCTTAACTTTTGCAGTTATTCAGTTTTCTCATCTATTAAATGGGATCTATTTCATAGGATTATTGTGAAGATTAAATTTTATGGTACCTTTAAAAGTGATGATAACAGCTGGCAGTGAGTAGGTGTTGAGAAAATGTCAGCTGCCATTATTATTATCGAATTAACTCGATATTGTTTGAGAGCTAGGCTTCACTTTTAGGTGGTATTTACAGAGACAGTCATAGTTAATTCTATTCCATCCTCCACTTTATACAGCAACCTCTGGATTCTGGGATGTTGCTTTATGAACCTAAAGGAAAAACTCTAAATTCACAATGGGAGTTTTCAAAGCTACTTAGGGTTTGGTCTCTTTACCTAAGTCTATCTTTCAGATCAAATTCCTTCTTTGATTAAATCAAGAGTGGAA